CATGCCACCACGCTCAGTCTCAGATTACATTTTTAGCTGCTATGACTGAAAGGTTCTCAAATTTCCTTGGGTTTTTGCTTTTACTCTGGTAACCATAGTGATTTTTGTGGTTCTATTCTGTTTTTGTGGTACTGGTGTTCAAACCCAGAGGCACTCTACCACTGAGCTACATCCCCAGTTCTTTTTATTTAGAGACAAAGTCCTGCTAAGTTGCCCTGGCTGGACTCGAACTTGTGCTCCTCAGTGCCTCAGTGCACTTCTGCACATGGCTTTAGTGCTAAGACTTTGTCCTCCAGTTCTGTTGGCCTTTGTGTTCATCCACACAGAGTACTCATCCAAGCCCAGGACCTGCACTGTCAGCTTCTAATAGGAGAATTGCTTCAAAGTTTTGATCCTTTGTTCTTCACCCTGCATTCTCAAAGTTGTAATTTCTCTCTGTCCACCAGGCCCTGAAGAGAACTTTACAAAGAAACACACCTTGGTTCAAAGACCACAAAGTCAGTAACCTCTTTCTGGCCCTCTTCACTCACCCTGGACACCTGCTGTCCTGCTGGGGGTCTCAGTGGTTCACAGCAGCCTCAGTTCTCAAGGTTCCTGTTGTCTTCCTAACTCTTGAGTCACTTCTCCCTCCATCCCGGGAAGAGCCATCTTCACTGTTCCTATGATTTTGATGAGCACAGTTAGGTTCCTTTGGAAAAGATGTTTCCCTTGGCCATAGTTGCTTCCTGAATCCCCTTTGAAAAGATCTCTCTTCTTCTACAGCTTCAAAGCAAAGGACAAAAAGATCTGTACTTAACATGCAGACCTTGCAGCCAGCCTGCCAACTGTTTTTTTCTGCAGAAAGCCCTTTCCCTATCTGTAATTCTTTTGACTTTCACATTCTGTCTTCTTGCATATAGGTCACGCATTTTTTATAACCCAAATGTTATAAACTATCTAATGTAGCCTTTAATAGATTTCATATACTTACAATGTACTAAAAGAGCTGACGCTGTTCTTCAAGCATCTAAATTACAAAATATAGGCTTGAACTTTGGGACTAACAGTAAACACTCATTTTCCTTTTATTCTATCATGAGATATTTATAAGTACTCTGATAATAATATACTGGGCGATGTCTTTTATTAATGCCATTTCCCCCAAAATGAACTGTTTTAAAATTTAAATACAAGTCCTATGTGTTAAATTTTCACAGTGTGGCTAAGAATAAAAGAAACAGTTTGCATTTAATGAACATTTACTATGTGTCATGATCTGTACTAAGCACATTACAGGCATTACCTCATTTGGCCCTGAGCAGCTACCGTACAGCAGAAATTCTCAATGAGCTGGCAATTCAGAATTAAACAACTTTAGAGTTTCAGAGATAGTTCAAGCAGAAATTGACTCCACTGCTCAACGCTTAGTTATCTAGTCATATCACCTCCTCAGACTAGAAAAGGATAAAAATATGTGTGTGAAGAAAGAAAAACAGAAAGAGCGAAGGAAGGAAAGAGACAGAGAATCAAAGGCACAGAACATAATGAAGGTTCACACCTCCACTAGAATATTTTATAGGAAGGAAACCCTCATTCTGGATTCAAGACAGAGAAATGTGCTGTTATAACTTATTGTCTGTGTAAGTTACAGTTTAAAACTATGATATAGTTTCACATGGTAACAAGAATATTTTTTAGGGTGAGGCGTGGTGGTACATGCCTGCCTGCACTCAGAAGGCTGAGGCAGGAGGATCACCTTAATGGTTGCCACACTGTGTCAGTGTGAGAAGTCTAAGAGCTTAAGTAACTCAGCAGTTCTGCAGCCAGGGGTGTACAGGACAAGTCCTTACCGCTCTAGGATGTTGTTCATTGCATCAACTTGAGAAGTTTAGAAGTTTAACTGAGTCAGCAGGGGTCCAGAGTCCTTAATTTGCAAACATTTCCAGCCTGTGTGAGAGGAAGGCTGGGAGATGGTATAGGTGTAAAGGATCCCTTCCCCAGGTGGGCAGCATGGGTACAACAAAAGGGAACTGAGGAAGGACTGATCGCTGGGTCTGTGGAAGAACTCCAGTTTTTGCCTTCAGCTTCCTTTTATCATCTCCGAGCTGGCAGCACAGACTGTTCGGCTTCCTCCTTGGATGCTTCAGCCTTTGGTCATAGACTCTTCAGCCTTGCATCACAGAGCCCTTGGCCTCCTGACTGGATTTGCACGGGACACTGCAGCGAGCCCCAGACCCTGGACTGAAACCTTCAGTCTCTGGTTACTGTTTCTCTAGGAAACCCTGACTGATACAATCACCCTGAATTTTAGACCAGCCTGGGCTACATCATGAATTCAAGGCCAACCTAAACTACATACGGATACCCTGTCTCAAAAACTAAAAGCAAATTTCTTAAGATATATTGCTAACAATCAAATTTATTTTGATTATTAAAATGTGGCCCACAAGCTTGAGGTGGTAACTCCTTAAATCTAAATCGTGTGTTAATTGTAGGGTACCCAGGAAGCAAAATTAAGTTTTTCCATCTTTCAGCCTACAAAGCTACAATTTGGTAGATTGCCACTTTAGAGGGACAAATAGGCACCGCTCTACCCAGATGTCATTGTAAAGGTGGTTGTAATGCTCATACTAGCATTAGTAGTGTGTCACTGTGGCAGAGGGAGCAGTCATGGCCAGGATGCTGTATTTATTACATGGAGATGATGTTAAGGTGACAAAATGGGAGTGCAGCATGAGTCTCATCAGCTTGTCAGTTGTCTGGATAGAAACAAATGATTTCTGTTCAGCCTCAGAATAGGCCCAGGAGGCCCTAATTCACCCCTTGTTGCATGGTAAGGATAGTCTCTTTATTCCCTTTTCCATCTTGTTGTCTCAGTCAAAACTGGTTCTTGAAGATTGTGTCAGCAAAGTCTATATGACCTCCTTGCTGGAGGTCTTGGAAGGCATCGCCTACTGCACACCAACTTTCACAAAAATTCCTTTGAGAGCCTAAAGGGCCTCCAAAACCGTATGTCCAAAAACATACACCATGTTACAGGATTTAAGGCTTTCTTAACATGCAAGAAGATCCTCTGAATTAACATCAGTGAGACTCACCATGGACTTCCTAATCGAAGTAAATATGCTCTCTTATAAACCTTGTGGTAAATGCTTGGGTGGGCTAACACCACATCCAACCTATCCTGCTTTGGGTGTGAGGCCATGGAATTCTAAAACTGATCCTTCTAAGAGTTCCTTACAGCTGGAGTTCTCTACATAAGTTGTGTTCTGCCAAATGCATGCAATCTTGAGTAAAGGTTTAAGCTGAGGTGAAGGCTATACTTCAGTCAATGTTTCAATCATATTTTATATGGCAACATCCTAGGGCCTGTTCTTGGGCTCTTGGATATTTAAGGTGCTTGAAGGAGCAGTAATCATTGTTGATTCCAAATTCCTGACTGCTAGACAGAGACGCAAAGCTGTGGTCTTGTTTTGTTCTTGTTGTTTTAATTAATAGCTTCAAAGCAAGTTTACTGAGTGTTAATTTGCATGTAATAACACGTGCTCATTTTGCAAATACATTTTGACAAGTTTGGCAATTATATGCC